AGGTAAAATAAAACTTTACTTTACTTTATTTACGGCTTTATCCTTGGCTGTGGTTGCAGGTTGATTTATATCAGTTATATGTCTATGTTCATCTCTTTTTACATTACATTTAGGTGTTCCTGCTGAACGTGTTGCTGGTGATGCCGTGGATGAACTTTTGCGCAATGTTGAAAGTGGAGGATGTGTTGATGAACATCTGCAGGATCAGGTAGATGCCAATTTACCTGCACAGAACATCACAAAGCCATAACAATGGTGCAATAATTTTGTTGTGCACTTGTCAAATTGTATAGCATTTTAAAGATTTGTATAGCATTTTAAAGTTTATTTTCAAATTCTTGTTGCCTTTGTTACAATTAACATTAATTATTGCTGTGATCCTTTGTGTTTTTTTCTTACAGTTAATAATATTTATGGCTCTGGCTGCTGGGAAGTCAAGAGTGAGATCAGGTCCACTGACCATGCATACAAAAACAGCCATTCACATTGCAGAATTGGTCACCAAGGTAAYTGAAAATCTACCCACAATGCATTAGGGAGGTGGTAGCAAATTACAGAACACGTCTTTGGCTACTAAGTCATGTATTTTATCTTGTTATAGGCATCATTCACCGTTACACCATGTGGTACAGACAACAGCCCTGAGACATTTCTGATAGAATGTGATGGTATAGGATTGATAAATGAGAACATATYTGAATAAAATACTTTTAATAAATTCATTGCATGTTGTGTTATTGTGTCCATTATATGGTATTTACATTGCAAGGAATATGTCAAACATCAAAAACTAATTTGTAAAGGTCATCAATGTGACTGCACTACAACTTGTTTATCATGAATTATATATTATAATTACAAAGTATTAAAATTAAAATTAATGAATATACTTACACTGCTATGTACTTAATACACAAGTTTAGTAAAACAGTGGAAATCACCTTATAGAATGATTGTTGTTACCAGAAGTGCTATCCTTCTGTACATGGAAGAGCTCTTTTTTTAAGGTAGAAGACTTGCTCAAAAATTTAAGATCAGGATTTCTGTGTAGGGATTAAAGCTAGGATATTTAATGTTTTTTGCTATTGTAACTTTAGTCAAGTCATCCATTCATTTCTCCAGTTGTAAATCATAGATAGAATGTTTGTAAATATAACAGATACTGTCATCCTTTACATCCGTTCGATGCTCACGATTAAACATTCTAAACAATGCTTCATTTGGACTTAGCAGTTTCCTTACATCTAAATTTTTGGTAATGGAAAGGAAAACTTTCTCTCCTCCTACAAAACCTGGCACAATGTAGAGTTGCAGTGGTGGACGATTACTGTCCTTGTGGTATATTGTAAACATACGTTCTACATCTTTTGTCTCCAAGCTAATGCAATAGATGGTGTCTGAATCATTCAAAACTATGAAGTCCTTTGTCAAGAAAAGTATGTCATGAATGACAAGACGATGATATAAATCAAGGATGTAATGCTGAATACTTGCAACCTCTGAGTAGTCAGTGGTGTCAAGTACTGTGAAGACACTCTTGTACACAAATGCTAGTAGTTGTCCATCATCAGAAAACTTTATTGTTTCATACTGAAAATGGTCTTGGGATGTAAATAAATTTGCTTTGCACTGACACTGTGGCAGGCACACTCTTGGATAAATTGGTATCTTTATAAATTCATGTGACTCATTGAAATGGCACAAGAAAAGTTTCCTGCATTGTGCTGGAGTTCCATGACTGCCTTTGTTCCCCCAGATCATTTCTTCAAAGATTGTTCCATCTTCATTTGTGAATAATCTGTGCATGTCATCTCGCACAGGGAAAAGCAGACATGTTTTACCTATAACCATGTGACCCTGACAGCTAACTGCCTCAACTTCATCACATTGATCAATGTCAACTGGCTGGTGAACTTCCTTTCCAGTTTCTCCATCCATAACATAGATCTTGTTGTTAAGACATCTTATCACAATGTACCAGGGTTGACTTCCATAGACATGATATGTCCTAATGACGTTGGGTGCCTTGTATCTAGTGAGTAATTGTAAATTAGTGGCATCAATTATCTCAATGTCTCCCATTGCTAACATGGGGAATGCAATAATAAATTGATTGTCAGGAGACATGCACATTGTCTTGTTCCCATCAAATGTCTTCTCAAGTAACAATGTTCCATCTAACTGATATTTCTGCACCAGTGTTTCTTTGCCCAAATGACTATTTTTCAAAAGGAAAAATCCCTTGTCACAGGGGAGAACAGATGATTCTCTGTCTGGCAGGCTCATGACAATTTGTCTTTCTTGATAAGGAAAACCATATTCCTTGAGCATATCAAGTGGCTTTGGATTGAGCTGTATCATACTTGTAATACTTTGAAGATGGAGACTTTGAAGGACTGTCTCCAGGAAATTAGAAAGAGTAATTGGATGGTAGAATTGACAGTGTTGTTTGTGGTACCTTTTAATATCAATGTAACCTCCAATGATTTCATAAACATCCTTCTTATCAATGTAAACAATCTCACTTGAAAGGAGACTATAATTAAAGGAAACTGTTTGGCCATGAAAGTCCAAGCAATAGCTTATGAAACGAAAACAGAACAACAAACAGCTTGTCTGAGTTTCAATTCTTTTATCTTCACTAAGACTTTGACTATCCATATACAGTCCTCCAAATGTAAAAGCATGCTTCTCTCTTTCAGTTAGATAGAGTGGCTCCTCTATGTTTTTTGACCCTTCTTTAATGCTGTGTAGGATCTCATAACATGCATTGGCAATCACTCCACTGCCATCACCTTTCACTCTGAAGTCATGATCTCCAGTGGTCAACCAATCAATAACAGTCTTGTGAAATGCTGACACATGATCATTCTCTACAGGAAACAGCTGGTGAAGAAGGTGAATGGCTTCTTTTCTCTCTCTGTTTGGAACCCTGGGCTCATCAACAAGACCAACTATTTCATAAAAAATGTCCTTCTGGATCGGATATTTAGCTGCCACAACAGCATCCAGCATCTCAAAGAAGCTTTCTTCACTTTTTATGTGAGGAATCATTGCTTCTTTGAGTCTTGAGAAGTAGTTTTCATAAACTGATGTGATACCCTTTCCCTTGGGGAAATGTTCAATTGCTTCTGATAATGAGGCACAGTTAGCATCTTTCAAGAAATCAATCACGAAAAAAGCCACCAAAAACAGCCCTTTTGTAACATCTACAAGATGATTGATTTGCCCAATCTGATCTGATAAAAGGTATCCATGCTCTCTCAGTTTGTCAGATAAAAACATGTGAAGATCATTTTTATTCTGACCATCATCTGGTTTAATCTCACGTGTTGTACCAATGTGGATAGCTGAAATACTGGGTGGTGGTCTTGTTGTAAGAATAAATCGAAGGTAGGATGGCAAGTCTGACAGATTATTTAAGACTCCAAAAAATTCTCTTTTATAACTATTGTGTGATTCATCAAGAGCATCTATAACAATCACTACATTGTGTTCTGATCGAAGTTTTGAGCATGGTTCCTGAAACAACAAGGTGAACAGTTCTTTACAGTTAAGATTGGATATTTCTTTTTCTGCCTTTAGCTGCTTTTCAACAGCAGCCTGATAGCCTGGAAGAGAATCACATAGTTGCCTTGCAACAGACTGCAACATTAACATTGGATTGCTATGCAAAGAATTGTCATGGTGAAAAAAATGACAAGCACCAAGATTCCCTTGTTCTTTGTAGAATTGGCACAGTTTACCAGCCACCACTGATTTCCCCATACCAGGTCCAGCTTGCAATACAATAGTGTTGTCTCTGTGTGTTTCAACATGTGACTTAATTTCATCTAGAATCCATTCTCTAGTTTTTGGATGATAAGACTGACATAGTTTGGATACCGTGGAGGTGAAGTCACGTTGGGCAAGTTTGTCAATTTCAGGTTGTGAGCAATATGGTAATCTCTGTTTAATCTCAGCAATATCTGCTTTAATATTTTTAGAGATTTCCTTAGTGTCAGATACATCCAGTTTGATCTTCTTCACATCAAGTCTACTCTCACTTGTATCTTCACCAATTTGTTTCAGCTGTGATTGAATATCTTCATCTGATTGTTGCCATTCCTTAAGTAACTGGTTGTAGTTATCAGGTCCCGAAGGAGATGTCTTTAAAACATCAATATCATATTGCTGCAATCCTAATGAAACAAGAGCTGCTGAAATCTCTTTCCAATACTTCTTAAAATCCACATCATCCACCTCAGCACTTGAGTTATGAGCAATAACTTCATTTCTGTAATACTTAATTCTGACAAGGTTAGCTTCAAGGCTGTTATCTGTTGATGGTGGCAAGACATCCCAACCTGTAGCTGGTGGCACAAGCCCACAAATATTCCTCAAAAGAACAAATAGTAGAGTAATGTCAAAATTACCGGAGTCAGCAAGGGCTGCCGGATATAACTTGCTCCACTGGTAATTGTTCAATACTCTTCCTATTGGTTTCTTGAGTTTCAGTAAATTTGGATGCTCCTTGGTGAGGACTGTTGCCAATGATAATGGCGGACATTTCTTATCAAACTCTGACCTCACAGCTGTTGAGCCACCATCAAACAGAAGTCTGCACAGTTTGGTGTAATTGTTTTTTTCTTTAGTCTCTGTAGTCCAAAGTGGGCCAGACATTCTTGAGCATCTTTAACTATTGTTGGTACTTCTCAACCTGATAATAATAATCAATGATGTATTACTTTGAGCCAGACATAGACGTTTACAATCTGGATATCCTTATTTAACAAGCGCATAAACTCATTTAGAATTTAACTACCAATTCCAAGATATGGAATCTTAGTTACTACTAAAGATTTTTGAGCATATATCAAAGTCTTGAGATATTATTATATTTCGTAAAGGGAAGACGGAATAAATTTGCTGTAGGGAATGGCTTCAGGCAGATTTAATAGAGGGGACCACAGGTAGCCCAAACTTATTATCAGAGGACGATGACGTAATGTGTTGAACCGTTGATAATTTTTGAATTTTTAATTAGTTTCAAGGTAGGTTCGTAATAAAGCCTTCCAAAACCACTGAAAACTGTAAATAATTATCAGAAATCTCTCAAAAAGTTAGAATGATCACTAAATAACACGTTGGTTTAGTAATATTAACATAAAAGCATCTCTGGAGTGGTTTTGAGCACTTCGAAGATTACGTCATCGTCCTCTGATAATAAGTTTGGGCTACCTGTGAGGGGACTAGTCCCCTCTACTAACTCTGCTTCATCTTACTGGTAAGCACTTACTCGATTTACAGCCAAAAATTACACCATTTAATGCAGTATTCTTCCCTTCGAAGGGACCAAGATGTGTTAACTAAATCGGACTACATTTTCTTTGAAGAAAAGTTCCCATCGAGATTTCACTTTCAAGGCGGAAGTGAATTCACGTGACCAAATTTGTCATGTGACCAAAGCCGGGTACCAGGTCCCCAAACTTCCCAACGTAGGGGCGTGGTGAAGAGGGTGCGGTTGTTCTGTTCTGTTTTGGTTCTGGTTTTGGTTAAAAAAACACAATTTTAGAGAAGAAAACATCAGAAAGGAAGGCGCGCTAGCATCGAAAAATTCAACCCTATATAAGCTACGTACAGAATGGGCCAGAATGGAACGAAAACTCTAGGGCTGAAGCTGCCCATGACGTTAGCTTTAGAGAGGCACTGGCTCGGTTCTGGAGGAATACGGAGACGAAATTACCGACTGGTATGCATCAACCCCTGACATGCCAGTTGGTCCAATGCACTGACTTTTGAAAGAACTGTAGTACCAGTAGAGGAGGGTTGAAAACACTGACCCCCAGTCCACGGACCCCTCCATGGACTATGTCCACGGACCACCCATGAAAACATTGCAAATGCCCAATAATAGATTTGACAAGGATTATTTTGTATTTGCTCATCCAATTAAGGGTGTTAAGTTAATGATTTATCTTGTCACGTTGTCGGTCGGCCACATTGTCACGTCAGTCTTCTATTTGTTTTGTTTTTTTGGAACCACAATAACTCGTGCTTCGATCTTAAGCTTTTCCACATTATAGATTGAAATTTAAACAGCTTGATTTATAGTGTGCAGATTTGCATTCAAAAAAATCAAATGAAAATATAACGTGTAGAGGACTGACGTGACAAAGGTAAAATCATTAATTTAATGCACAATTCAATTGAAACCCCCGTCCCCAACTCCCAGGACTAGCGGAGTATTAAATAGTGACATGCTTTTATCAGCAGGATTGGCCCGGGGGTCTTGATTTTGATGAATTGTTTTTGAAGCCGGGCAAAGAGCTGAGATTTTAACTCTCGTTTGAACATTGATGAGCCTGGAAACCGTAGAGGTCGACCAATCTTGAGAAATACTCTGAAAGCATAGGTATTCAACCTTGTTTTGTATTTGTTTATTTTTCCTGGTATGAAAATTTTTTAAAAGAAACTTATTACACAGTCCATAGCCTCAATGTAGTACGCAAATGATTATACAGGATTATACAAAAATTAACCCTGTGTATCACAGAAAATTTGACTGAAAGGTGTTTGTTTTGTTATTTACTACTAGACCAAAATAGCGTGACAAGTCTAGCGGGGATTTTACCAATGAATGTGCCCCGAGTCTTACCGGGGTAAACATCTTATTTCAACGCCACTCCAACATTAAAAAGTGTTTCAATTGACTAGCATGCATGACACCCTTTATTGGATGAGCAAATGCAAAATAATTCTTGTCAAATCCATTATTTGGTATTTGCAATGTTTTCATGGGTGGTCCGTGAAGGTGGTCCATGGAGGGGTCCGCGGACCGGGGGGTCAGTGTTTTCAACTCTCCCGTGCCAGTAGAGTGGACGAGAAAGCCATCGACTTTTACTTCAAGAGTGGAACTGAAATGAATGGATTTTCTCACTTATAACATTATAAACATATTATAAATGTCATTTCCATATGATATTTTTGTAAATGTTCAGCTCACAGGGACCGCGGAGCGTGAATTTGTTTGGGGGGCTAGCGGCGAGGAGGTACAAGAGGGGGGTGGTGGAAATTTTTGAAATCTTAATAACTCTCGAAAATGTCATTTCCAGCGTTTTGAGGCGTTCTCAAAGACATTTTTACCGCACACACCGTCAGCGATATTATCAATAAATCCCAAAGACTTCGCAAAAAAGGTTTAATTTTAATTGTTCACGCTCACCTTTTACACAATTTTTATAGAATGTATATGGTAAAATTTCATAAGGAGGCTCTTCGCTTCTTGATTTAAGAAAATTCGAAATGTCGAAAAAAATATTGGGGAGACTGTAGCCCCCCAGACCCCCGTGCTCCGCGGTCCATGGCTCATTACTTTTTTCCTTTCTGGTTGGGCTTCCTGTGCTTTATATCCCATGATCCCATGGASGACGGCTGTCACATGAGAAGCTCGTCTGGCGTTTGTTGCCTTGAAAAATGTCTCTGATGTAGAGAAGTTATCGTCTTTATTACTGTATTATGGCGTATACTACAAGTAGTTACACGTCTTATTATGGACTTTTATATTTGTTGGGTCTATCAGCGATTGTTGGGACAGGTATGCTTTAATATCAGTCATATAGCTACAAGGAATTTGGCGATAATCATGATACAAGATGGCTGCCACCTCTGCATCATGAATATGAATTATGRTCTTTTAGAATATTGCTTAGGGGTTTAAGATCATTGTACATGTTATATTTTTGTTTGCTTAGGTTTTGGTTTGAAGAAATTATTACTTTTCTTGTATGAAATTCATTTCATGTACCAAAGCTGAGCCTGAATTCTTTGATTGAATTAACCATATTTTGCTTATTTTTGTGTTTCGTTTAGGGTTATTTTACAATATATCAGGTCTAGGAAGTCGCTTTGATATAGGATGGTGAGTAGAGTTTCAATTCCTGTAAAGATAAGACAGTGTATTGATTTGAATGGTTATTTTTGTGTAGGTTTTTAGAGAATTCTTCTCCTTTCATGTGGGGATGCATAGGAATAGGTCTTGCCATCGCATTATCAGTGGTTGGGGCAGCATGGTAAGATAATCACTGCTTTTTGTATTTGAATAGAAATATGTGCTATCTTGCTGTAATTAATCAGCTTTTTTGACAAGGACTAAATAAGACTTCGATGAGTAGTAAGCAACAGAAATTACAAAAAAAGGCAAAGCTTCATCCATGTTTATATAACTCACATGAATCTTTGTCTTTTTTATTAATTTATTATCAGTTTTTTGTTAATAATGTGATAATTTAAGATGATATTTTCTCTTTCCATAGGGGAATCCTTCTAACAGGAGCAAGCATTTGTGGTGGAGGGGTTAAAGCACCAAGAATCAAAGCAAAGAATCTCATAAGGTATCAGGTTGGATTTGGATCTTATAATGGAATTGTCAGATACTTAGAGTCCCACAAATGGCGAGGGCAATCCTTGTTACAAATTACTTGGCAATTTGTATTATGTGCATTAAGTGTATTGTTTTATATATTTTTAAAAATTCCTGGTTTGTGGGCTACATTTCCAAGTAAGCTACAAAAAACATAATACATRTAAAAACATTCTTGGCATAAGAGTAAAAAAAGGTTACTACTTACTACAAACACAGTTCTAACAATGATTGATAATGATTAATAATAAATTGTTGTTTATTATTTAACTTTCAGTATCATCTTCTGTGAAGCAGTCGCCATTTATGGTATCATCATGTCCATCGTCCTTAGCAACAACCTAGCGGTATGAATCATGCGTCTTTATAATGATTATCTATTCCCTTGATATCAAAATATTTATAAGTATTGTGCTCATTCCACAGCCTGTTGATGCCAGTGGTCTTAGCTATAAGAAACGCATTGTYCTCTATACAGCTGGTAATGTCAATAATACCTTTAACTGTACATTTCCTGGTCGTATTTCCTGGTAATTAATATCATTATCTTTAAATTCAGGATACAAACTTTTTGGTGCTGGACTAACTGTTGGATTTTCCAACTTGTGTTGTGGAATTTGTGTTGGAATAGTTGGAAGGTAAGAATTCTCTAGTTTTCTTTTTAGTTTTTAGTAGCAATGACGTTATCAGAATTCTTGAAAAGCCCTGGAATTAAGCTTGTTTTCGAGGGCACTTCAAAAGACCTTGAAAATCAGTAAAAATTCTTCTTGAATTGATTGCTTGACCATTTGCCATTCCTAACTGTCATCAAATACTGATTAAATGTTCTGTTTAATCGTTAATCTTCTGTTTACAGTCATGTAAATGTTGTATTTTATCTAWTTACAGTGGTGCAGCATTGGCTGATGCACAAAATGGAGCCTTGTTTGTTAAGGTAATGGCCTGTTGTAAGAAACATGAATATCCACCTAATATCGTAGACAAAATCAAAATGTATACAGTAGATTACCTAAGTAATCTAACCTTACATACCATCAGATCCAGAGAATCTTTTATAATTTCTATTTGCAATACAGTCTAATATTACTGTAATACTGTAGTTAACTTTCATGTGTCTGTTCTTTATTATGAACTCTTTTCTTTGTTTTTAGATATTGATTGTAGAGATCTTTGGCAGTGCCATTGGATTATTTGGTGTTATTATTTCTATCATTCAGGTATGTTAAAAGACTTGCACATCTGGGCTTCCTGTGTTCAGATGTTAGAAATTATGGGATATTTGATGTAAGATTATGGTCTGTGAGATATGTAGTGCTGTTTGTTAAGAGGATTGTTTGTTTATCTTTGAAATTTGTGCCCTTATTACATATTTAAGAAATATAAAACAGCGCACGTGTCTCTGTCCTCTGATATAAACATGGTGGGAGTTGAAAAACACGAGAGAAGCTTCTTGAGTGTTTTTCAACTCACACTTTGTTTATATCAGAGGACAGAGATACAAGTGGCCGTTTTATATTTCTTTTATAACATTTTTTGAACGAAAAGCAAATTTTGCCAGTAAGCCGTGTCTCTGTCCTTTGATATAAACACAATCGTCAGGCAATCAAAGCGCGCATTATATATCAAAAATTTTGTGTTGGTGTTCAACTTCTTTCTGTATATGTTGCACAATTAGTGCAGTGCAAAGGTGCATTTGTTGGGGCGAAACATTTGTCAAACAAGTAGATACATATTCCTGGCTGCTGAAAACTGCACCTAAAATAATGTAATCATTACCATCACCAGTATTTCCATCATCATGTTCATATCTAAAGCTCTAGATTCTACTTTTTGAAATTTCATTTTCCTGACTGATTTTATTGTTTTGTAGGCAAGCGATGCAAACATGGAGCTAGCATTGTAAAGATATCAAGAAAGACTACATCATATCAATTATTATCTTATTATTGTTCAAAATTAATGATATTAAGAATTCCCAGGAAAACACTGAAAACAATGGAATGACGTTCTTTCACACTCCATGCTTCTATCTTCATTGTTTTTTTTCTTGTGCTTCCTTTCATTTTATTTTGTTTGTTGTAAATTGTTTTCTATTTTTATTATGTGTATCTGTAAGTATAATTCCAGTGAGACACAAAAAACTGTTTGACTTCAATAACCGTAGATTCAGCAATACTATTAGGGAAATCATTATAATGGTGTAAATTACAAATAAATATTCTAAGTGGGAAGTGAAAAACTGATCATTTTAATCCGTGTTCATATATTGTTGTTTTTTTTTCTATTCACCGATTAAGTAATGGCTAACAAACTGTGAATTGTCTGTGGAATAGAATCCTTCATCAGAGGAGATTTCATGAAGTCACTCTACGGATAAATATCACATTGATTTTCATGAATAACCTTGAATAACCTTACTGT